AAGGAGCGGGGCACGGCTGCTGCCGGCTCCCCTCACGCTGCCCGGGCACCGAGCAGCTCCCGGCGCCGCATTCCCGAGCGCTCCGTGAGGGCTCCGTGAGGGCTGCGGCTGGCGCTGCCCGCCCCTCAGAGCGCGGGCACGGGCTGCGGGCTCGCACAACTCCAGCCCCACACGCCGTGCCGGGGCAGCCCCCCTCACCTGGGCACGGCCAAGCGCTGCCGCCTTCCCGCCCGCCGTGAGGGGCAGCCCGGCTAAGCCCGGAGCGGGACACGCGTTCCTGCCGGGCACGGCTTCGCCCCGGTGCCCCTCACCTCGCCTGTGGAGAAGCCGCCAAAATGGCGGGGGGCGGAGGCGGACCCCCGCCCGGGCTGGGAGCGCGATGAGGGAGGCAGAGCCGTCCCATCCGCAGGGAAAAAGGCGCCTCGGAGCCGGTTTTCTCCTTCAGGGATCCCGCGGGAGGGGGACTCACCTGAGGCGGCGTCGGCCGGCGCGGCGTGGAGCAGCAGCAGCAGCAGCAGCACGGTGGCCCCGGCGGCGCTCGGGGCGCCCATGGCCCCTGGCGGCGAGCAGCGAGCACCGAGTGCCCGCCGGGCCCGCGGCAGGTGCCGGGGCAGCGCCTCGCCCCCGCCCCGCCGCCAAACTTCGCCCGCAGACAAAGGGGCAGCTCCGCGCCGCAGCCCGCCCGCCCCCCGCCCCGCCCCGGGCAGCGCTGCGCCCTCCTTCCTCCCGGCACCGGAGCCTCTCCTCCTGCTCCTGCTCCCCCTCCTACTCCCCCCGGGGGGACAGAGGATTCTGGCTTCTCCCCTTCTACCCGGGGATGGAGCAGCCCCCGGTAATCCCGCAGCCCGTCCCAGCCGCAGCAGTGCCGGGATCAGGCTAAGCAAAGGGGTTCGTGTTGGACCTGGCCCCACTGACTTGATCCATCCCGGCGGCTGGAAGGGAGAGATCACCCTCTGGCCGGGGTTGGAAGCTGCTTGCTAATTGGTTGCGTTTTGGGTGTCAGGTTGGGTTGTAGGATTGTAACAGCAAGTATCAAAGCCTGGTCTACTTCCATGTCCATTTCTTCTTGGCATGGTCGCTGCTTTGCTCTTCTTTCCTAGAGCAAATCCAAGCAAGAGTTAAAAGATTCCAAGGCTAGCAATCACAAATCAAGCACTCAAACTAAAAAAAAAATTAACAAAAAACAACAGAAACTTAAGTTCAGCTGCTGCCCTTACGGTGTTTTCTTGCTTTAAGCACTTCCACACACACAGTACTATGTCCACTTGAGAAAAGCTTCCCTTGTCACCCCTCCAGCACTACACACTCAACACATCTCGGAACCAACGTTTCCAAATTAAAGTTGGGCTCCTACAAGTCACCAGAAAAAGAAAAACACCCCCAATTTGAAGTTACAGCCATTCCAAGCCCCAAATTAAAATGAACTCGGAAAGTGAGTTTATTTTTACTAGTTTGTGAATGAAATGGGTTTTTTTTCCCCTGCTGATTTCAGCATTCCTGCTTCATAGCAGTTGGTTGCACAGGGCTGGGCTGCTGCTGCTGCCTTCATCTCCTGCTTGCCTGATGAAATGCAATGAAATTTCATGAAATGGCAGCTCAATTTGATACCAACTCCCCGTGGTAACTCCATCTGCTCAGTTTTGATTCACTTCCTAATGAACACTACCATTTTGAACTCCAAACTGGAGGTCAGATTTTTAGGGGTGTTTTTTCCTCCCCAGGACTGTGTGCCTTTAATCACTGTGCTGGAATTCCCACAGCAAACAATACACAAACCCCAGGTTCCTTCTAACTCCTCAGGTGAAACTCTGGACAACTGCACCAAAGTCAAAGAAGCACCAGCAGGAAAGAACAGGTGAAAATAATTAAAGCCAAGCACACAGAGGGGTCAATAACTTCACATAAATGTGTCAAGTCCATCTCTTAACCATTTTTGTTGTTCACCTTCCTGCTGCCGTTCTTTAGGCTTTTACAACTTGTTTCCCTAGTCCAGCTACAACCTCCTCCTCCCTATTTCTCCTACCTTCCTTCCTGCTGTTCTGACAACACTGCTCCAAAGACCCTGTTAAAAGTCACAACTCCAGGCCCATAACTTAGATAATTCTGCAGATTTACCCATTCCACAATATGAATGGAGAGCTTTTCCCTCTAGCAAACACTCATTTCCAGCATTTCTCAAGTTTTGCACTTGGTGCAAAAGACTTGAAATTTTCAGAAATTCAAAGTTTGGTAAAGTTTTGTCCTTTGCATCCTATTTAACACAAAAGCAGCATTTCTATTTTGAGTCTATTTACAGACTAGCAGTAACTAAAATTATAAAATAAGCTTCAGACTCTCTCAGGAGAAATATGAGTTAGTTTAAAGGCTGAAAGTTTGAAGGGTACAACTTGAAAACCACCGAGGCAGCTGTCAGCTGCTGCCACGGATCTTGGAAATACTGGCACTAAAAGTCACTGGGGTTGTAGGAATAAACCACTTTCAGCCTCCCTTTATCAAATCTCTAGGCAGAGCATTCTGCAAGTTGGTGCCAAAGAGCCATTTCTCCACTTGGCAAATCCCTGGCTGAAGAGACTGGAGCCAGTCATACCTTGTGTTCCTGGAAAGCTGGGCATGTGCTGGCTCAGACTTCCACAGAACAGCTGGAGAAACATGGCTCTGAGAAGGATCCATCTCTGGCAAGGGAATGAGCTTTTATCTGCATTCCCCACTTCCAGAATGCCTGACAGTTAAATATTTTTACAGGTTTTAACTGGGCTTTTTACAATGTTTTTGATAAGCCTTTTTTTAAATCCATGAGATTAGCCCAGGAAAACAACAGGGCATTGCAGTGTCACCACATGTGACCTTACCCCAGCATCTCCCAGTACCTGGCAATTTGGGAAGACTGTCATTTTCCTCTTGTTTTCCAAGCAGTCCTGCAGGTGACACACTGACAATTCTCCCTTTGTATCCTGGTGGGATGAAGCCTCTAGTCACCTGCAAGTTGAGGTACTGACAGAAATAACTGCTTGGAGAAGAATTATGTTTATCCCTAACAATGTTTTTAGTCAGCCTCAAGAGCTTTTCCCACCCCTCTGTCCTATTTCAGTCAATCCAAGTTTTCCCACACGGACAGATTTTCAGCTGTGGCGTTAGCCTCTCCCAGAGTCTGGAGGCTGCCAAGACCACTGGCATTGCAGAACATGGATAATAAAATCATATTTAATCACTCAGAACACCCATGTCAGCACTAAAAACCTGTCAGCCCTGGTGGCAGCTGTAACATCCCTGCCCTGCTCCTCCAGCTGTGGCAGAACTCCCAAGCACAAGCCTTGTGAACTCAGCTTGACCCACACGGATTCCAGATTTTTTGGAGTGCCACAAATCCCCCTACAAGTCCAGGTTGAGGCTGAGTGTCAGCCCAAACCCTGCACTCCCCACAACTGCACACAGGCTCCCAGGACAGTTTCTTCCTTCTTTGGGCAAATGTTTCTGCGTGCACTAAGCGTGAATCCCAGCTCTTCTCCTTAATTAAACTAACAGCAGGTTCAGATAAAACAAACCTAAAAGTCATCATACATCATCTGCAGCGCTAAAGGTGCTGCAGCACTCCCTCCCTCCCACAGCGACTTCCAGAAGCCAGCAGTGCCATTGCAGTCATGCTCAGTGTGACAATTAAAGGGATTTATAAGGCACCTCAGCCCAAGAACCACATGTACAGGTCCCACTCTGCATGTGTGGGGACTAAGCCCATTAAAGAGGAACCATCTCATGTTGTCTTCCTCCCTTCCATCTCTCCCCCCATGCCAATCCAGCATTTCAGAACAAAAAGAAGTCACAAGGTACTCAACAGCTTGTCCAGCACCGTTCCAGCATGGCACAGACCAGGGGCATTATTCCTTCAGCAATCAGCAACACGAGTTCAGAAATACACCTGAAAACTTGCTGACCTCATCAGCTGCTTCTCTTGCCCACCTGACCTCCAGAGGCACAGATTTCCTGTGTCCCCACAGTTCTGGGATTTTCCAAGCACAGATTCCTGCAGGAACATTTGTTGTTCTATGCTTTTATTCTCTGAGAGCTTCTGATTTAAGCTCACCTGTGCATTTGTTTAAGCAACACTTTTATTTTTTTAAATCTACCCATCAAAGAGGGCAGGCCTATCTTTTCCCAAAATGGATAGTGAAGTCTTGGAAATAAGCCAAGAGAACAGAAGAACAAAGAAATCTATGCAGACAATACCACAGGCTTTGCTTTTCTACACCAACAGGTGTAGAAAACGTTCACATTCAAATTGCTCCTTCTGGGTCACAACCATTGGAATGCCTCATTAATATCCCTTACATGTGTAATTCCTTAGAAATAAAGATATTCAAGTGCACTGGCATTGCTTTTCCCACTTAAAACATAGGAAGTCTATTAGGTCAGTGTGAAACCTTCCTATACACACCTTAAAGAGAATTTTTGGATCAAACTCTGAGCAAACAACCAAAAATAATCAGCGTGGCCTGACAGGAATTGGTCACCCTGACTGACAGCAGCCAAATGCTTCTGAGGGGAGCTAAAAGAATTTCCATGCAGACAGATCCCAGTAACCTCTTGGAAAAACCTCCAATAATAGGAATGATTTGAAGCCATAAACCTTTCCAGATTTGGACCAGCTCATCCCTCTGGTAAACAGCCAGTCCTTTCTGAGACCATCTTACATTTAGGGGTACAGCTTTATGAACACGTGTTCAACAACAGAGCCCCCCAAAAAACCCACCCCAGGAAAAATTCCAACGCCTACACAGGCGGGAAGGGCGGGAGCGCCATCTCCTGGAAGGAAAGCAGAAACCACCGGGAAAGAGAGGCGGGTCTCCAGCTGGCATTCCAGAAAACCAGGTGAGGAAAACACATCAGAGCACCGTGCACGTTGGCTCCCCCTCACAAAACACACCCGATTCTTCCTCAGGAAAAAACACCTGCTCGGTTCTGGCAACAGGCTCCTGTTTGTGACAACATTACACCGAATTTCGATGTGAAATCCACACGTTGCATTTATTTTTTGTTCTCAGAGAGCATGATTTGAATGACACCGTTCACTTCCCGAGCTCGACCACCAGGTCCACAAGGAAAAGACATCAGGTACTAACAGATTCTTGGGCAGGTTTTTGTTGATCCTCATCACCTGCATTTTCTTCCTCTTTTTCTTCTACCTTCTCCACTTGAGGTAGGATTCCATCGAGGTTCAGCTGCAAACCCTCGCTGGTGGAGGATCTGATAACCAACCTCTGCACAATGGGATCTGGGAAAACAAAGGGCACCACCACACTGGTCACTCCACCCCTTCCCAGGTTTCCAGGCTGACTGCTCCCAGCAAATGTTTTCCATCAAGCCAGTAAAAGAACGCCACAAGAATCAGGCTTGACACTCCAAATCAGTAGAACAGCTACTCAGGGCAGAAAAGCTAACCCTTACTAAACTGGGCTGATGTAAATTGATTTAAATTCATTTAAACAAACACCCCAAAACACCACTTTCTGCCATCTACTTTATATTTCAAGTCAGGCAACCCCTTATAGTTTTGATTTGGGCTTCTCAAGGCATGTGTATTTGACTTTATATGGTCTGGTATCTGCAGCTGCTATGAGCAGCATCACCAGGAGAGAGGCACGATCATTCTTCTGGCACACATTAAGCAAGTATCAAGACAAAAAAAAGGGTTTTTAGCTTACACAAAGCTCCTTGCCTAAAATTCTTTCACGAATCACCATTTCCTCTCCAGCTAAGCAGATGCCATCTGCTTAAAGTTGACTTTATTACTGCTTTTGCTAAGGAATTAAAAAACAAAAAAAAGCAAAGAAAGAATAATCTTTTCCCTTGGAGGAGCAGGAATTGAGTGACAATGCAGTAAAGAACACCCATGTCCCACTTGTGTTTGCTGCAACCTGAACAACCATGTGAGAACAGCGACTCCTTACCCAAATTGGACGGCTTGAAGGTGCAGATATCATGGATAATTGTTTTCAGGTTGGCAATTATGTGCTCAGTGGGCATATCCAGCTGCAAAAGGACAATGCCAAGTTAGTTATGGTGATGCCTGGAGCCCAGGTTAACAGGTCTGAAAGCATTGGTTTATTCCACATTTGGATAGGTTTCCTTTGTCCGTGCTCCCTGTGAAGGAGTGACAAATCCCATTAACAGCACGATTCAGGGAAAAGAAGTATTTTACACATGCTGATTTGCTCACTGTTCTCCCTGTTTCCACTCAGGACACGAAATTCACAGGGCTCTGTAACAACATGTAGCCTTAAGGGGTGAAAAGTCTTTTAAAAAAATCAATATATACACAAGAGCTTTTGCAAAAACCTCATTAAAATGAAGGATCTGTGGAAATAAGGTTCAAGAAGCAGCTGTCAAAGACCACGAAATGCATCAACACCTATAACTGAAGGTATTAGGAGCTTGAACAGGATGAAATAAACCAAAAGAACCAGCTCATCAGCTCCATGATGAAGACAGGCAATGAATGCTCAGAGGGTTCCAAGCACTCCAAAATAGTTCCCACACCCAAATGAAGATGCCAGCTTCCAAACCAGCTTCCCACAGTAAATCCCTGTGGATGCACACCTATCTTGCTGTTTGAAGTCTTGAACACTTCTTTCCAGAGCAGCACAAGGGGCTGTAAAAAGGTTCAGGTAAGTTATTTGGTCCCTTCTTATTTTTTTAAATAAGTTTGACTCCTCCAACAGCACGATCCAGAATTCCAGCTACATACAAAAATACAGACAAGGAAGCCCTTGGAATGCCCATGCACAGCTCAGAGCAGCTAATGAGAATTAATAAACTCATTTGTCCCCAACACTGCCAGGCAAAGCTTCAGGCATTTCCTACCCTTCCTGCCTGTGCCACCCACAGGGAGAGGAACACTAAACATCAGGCAGGATGACTAAGACACAAACCAGAAGGAAAACTATATAACAGAGCTTAAGGCAGAGAAAATAAATAAGCCAAAATTAATCCTCTATTTCAGGTGTAACACAAACAGTTCTTGCTTTCTACTCCAGTCCAGAACTATAGTTAATAAAAATATAAATCTTTAAATATTTGGTTAAAGCAAAGATTTTTTTTGACTCTCCTGTGCATATTGCCCATGGACTTACAAACCCATAGTTTATTCACCTATCAAAAAAAACAGCACACAAAAAGTTTAAAACCAGCTGAAGATGCCACACAACAAAGAGCTCTATTTTCTTCACAAGTTAGTTAAAGAAAATGGTTAAGAACTTCGAGAAACAGATTGAAAACATGGGGTTTTTTTCCCTCTTTGATTACTACAGTTCTGCTCAGGAGAGAAGATCTAAGAGCTGTCTACAAAACTTACTCTGGCTATTCTTGTCTTGATGACACTCTCATCCTCTACTGTGTACTGGTGGCATTCTCTGAAGAACTGCACCATTTTGGGAATGTCACTGCCCAGGGAATCTATTGAAAAAAAAAATAAGAGAAATTGTCTGAGTAATACTTATTAGCACAGATGGGTGTGGCACCAGGAAAGTGATAATTCAATCTGTTAATTAAGGCAAACACCACTCCAAAATGTAGTTTCACAGACAGGACAACGGTGTTCTCACTGGGATCACAAAAACATTCTCCATGTTCCCTCCTTCCCCATTCATCAGGAATAATAAGCATAAGGGCAGCTAGCAGGCAAATGTATCTGGGTTCTTATCCCAGATTTGCCTGTTGCAGGAAAAAATGGATTCCCAAAGTTCCCTTTACCCAAGACAAGTGATGCAGTCACAGCCTAACACCCGCTGCGACTACACATCCAGATAAAAACCATTCCAGTGGCACCCCCAGGGCTCCACCTCCCCCAGGAACTGCTAACAGCTGCAACCAAGAACTTCTCCTTACTTTTCCTGGTGCTGGGGTACTTCTTCTTCAGTTTGTTCCTCAGGGGGATTAACTTGGGTATTATGGCAGGGACAGCCACGTAGAAATCAGCCTGGATTTCATCCTCCAGGATCTGCAACAACCACAGTTCCACTAATTGGATCGAGGGTGATTTATAAAAGTGTCCAAGCACAGAAACCCATCTCTCACTCTCCACACTGCCTGCTGCCTCCCAGCTAGAGTCCACTGGACATCAGGCTTCTCCCCCTCCCCAGGCCCCATTCCTGTTTAAATTAGGATATTTATGTAATTCTTTAAGAAAAATATATACCCATTTGATTAATTCAACTCCTCCCACGATGGCAGCCCCGTGCTCCCGAGCTACCTCAGCTTCTTGCTCATTCTGTTGAGAGAAAAAAAGAAATTAAAAACAGCTGGACTACCAGTTAGGCTGTTGGCCTGCTGCCAGTTGAGCTCAGGGAGAGAATTCCAAACAATTATGTCCAAAGAGTCACCAAATAAACCCATGGCAGCTCTCTGGGATCATCTCACACAGATAAAATGATTAATTGGGAAAGGACAGCTGCAAGAGTGTGCTGGACACCAAAATCCCATGGAAATGAAGGAACCCTGGCTCAGCCACCTCTGTGAACACCAAAACCCCATGGAAATGACAAAACCCTGGCTCAGCCACCTCTGTGAACACCAAAACCCCATGGAAATGAAGGAACCCTGGCTCACCCACCTCTGTGAACACCAAAACCTTGTTCACCTCATCCGTAAAGCGATGGGGAAGAGTGACACCACTGGAAAAAGGCTCCACTTTTTTCTAGCAAGGGAATAAAAAAAAAATGAAAGCAAACAAACAGGAATTATGACACGGGGGTAAATTACACCACCACAAGGAGATGGTCCCCTAAATATGGAAAAAAAAAAAGAAAATGCAAACGAGGTGAGGGACTGCCCTCACAACAGAGCCAGTCTGAACACAAGCAAAGCCTCCAGGAGTGCCAGAATTCCCAGCCCACCTTCTTCTGCAGCGCCATGTCCAGGAACACATTGATGTACACAAACTGCTTGGGGTGGGTGAAGTCCAGCTCCTGGAACCTCTTGAGCATGGCCACGGCCTGTTCCAGCCCGTAGGAGGGTCTCCTGTAGAGCCACGTCAGGTACACATCGTCCACGGGCTTGCTCATCAGCGGCCGCCTCCGAGGGCGGGGCTTCTCCTTCACCTTCTCCTTCTCCTTCACCTGTCTGCTCCTCTTGTCATCCTTTTTGGCAGTTCTAACACCAAAAAAAAACCAACCAAACACGCTGTGAGGTCACCAGTTGTCTTATTTTCACAGCACTCTGATTGGATAAAAAAGGTTTCCTCCTCCCTCTCCCCGTGACATTTTGCATTCCATTGAACACCGAATTCTCATTTTCCCATTTTCAGAGGGTGTCCAGGCAAGGAAAAGAATATTAAAATTCCCCTGTGAAGTCTGCAGCACTCGAGAACACTTCATTCTCCTGTCTGCTTTTGCTTCTCACAGCCACGCTGTGCTATTACACAGACGGCAAATTAAACAATGAAAAGCTAATTCAAGGATGGGAAGGGTTTCAAATCGACTCCAGGAGCTCACCAGCTTTCACGCTGACATACAACCCTGCTACACCCCACAAAAGCACAGCCCAAAAGCACAACCTCAAGCTTTCCCTGTGCCATTAACAATCCCTGCGAGTCTCTGGGAGCCTGTGGGACGCCCCCAAAGTCAGTGGCTGTCACACCAGCACTGAGGACACCGAACACCCCCAAACACCTCCCGGGACACCAGACCCGCACTCACTTGGCTGCTGCCGCCGCGTAGGGCCGGGAAGTCACGGAGCTCACCACGGCGGGGACGGCGAGGCGCTGCTCCAGCCCGGGGAGGATCCGGCCGCACCGCGGGGACAGCGCTGCGGGGCGAGAGCAAACATCGCCTCAGACAAGCGCCGCGGCGCCCCGCACCCCGACCCGCCCGAACAGTGCCGCGGCAGAGGGAGGCGGAGAGGCGGCGGCGGCGGGCGCGGTTCCCTCAGCGCGGCCCCCTCACCTCGCCACAGACAGCGGGCGCTGGGCGCCGCCATTGTGCCGCCCCGGTGCGCCGCCAGAACCACTCCCCGCGGAACTCGCTCCCCGAGAAGAAGCGTTCCGGCGGGCCCGGGCGCTTCAGCGGTGTACCACACACCGCCGTCCCCCCAACCCGGCGCGCCCGGGCCTGCCGTTCCGCGGGTGCGCGGGTTCCGGCGCCTGCTCGCTGGCCGGGGAGAGGTGAGCCATTGGCCGGGGCTGGTCAAGAGCCTTCGGCTCGGTTCTTCAGCGGCCTGAGAGGGGCCTCAGGGCGGAGCCGGGGTCGTCTCGTAGAGCTGCAGGCCGAGCTGGGCCTCCTTCCCCAAACCAACATGGCGGCGGTTCCTGAGGGCGGCAGAGCCGCGGGCCGCTTACACCTGTTGGGCCCCGTCTGTGGGGGAGAGCAGTGCCCGAATGATGGTCAGTGTCACCTGCTGCAAGCCACGTCTAATTCCAAAAAGAGATCTTCTGGCTGCCGTCTCACCCCTATTCCCTTGCGGATTGGGTGGGAGAACAGACCCTAATTCACTCTCCTGGAGCAGCATCCACTTAAAAAGACTTTGCTTAACCATCTCCTGAGTTGTTCAGATTCACGCCACAAACCGTAATGGTTAAAGGGAGTTTTTATTCCACACTGATGTGCTTTTGACTAAAAACATTCCAATCCTGTAGTCTTCCCCAATCAGTGCGTGTCCAAGAGTTTATGAATCGGGCATATATGGCTATGGAAAACTCCCCAGTTGTGGGAATCCAGGGCTTCCCTCTGGCTGCCCTGGCTGCCCTGGGACCCTGGCAGGGGTCAGGAACCCCCCTGGACAGAGCCCCGAGAGACACTGTCTCTGATCTCTGTCCATGGAGAGGAGTTTTCAATCTTACAGGATGAATTACCAGCTCTGAGTGTTTGATAAGAGTAATAATTAAGTGTGACACGGGTGCAAAAGTAAAATTTTAAGTTTCTAGATTAGGGGTTCAGAGGGGACAAGATAGAGGAATTGGGTGTGTTGTGTCCTTTTCCTCCTTCTTCATGATCTCCATGTTTCACTGCAGTGTTGGCATTTTTCTGTTGGTTTAGGCTGGGGACACACTGTTCAACGTAGGTGACAGATATTGGCACAGTATTGTAAATATAGTACACGTAGTTTCTGGTATTTAATGTTTGTAACATCCCACTGAGGGCAGAGCCCCACACGCTGCCCGGCAGGACAGAGCTGCGGCAGGGCAGCAGAACATGTTAGAGATAAACAGAATAAACAACCTTGAAACCAGCACAGACGAATTATGGCTTCTTCTTTGGCAGCGGGGCTGAAAGACAGAGACTTTCTACAATCTCGGAATCACCAATACCCACAGATTCCGACACCCAGTGGATCCGTGTGCAAGAGATTTAAACCAGACATGGGTGGCTGTGTAAAACAAGCTGTAAGAAAACTGTGCTCATCCAGACTCGTGGCTCAGTGTCCTGGGAAAGGATGGGCATGGAGAGGTGTGAGGGTGATGGGAGGAAAAGGAACCCTCCTCGACTAAAACACCTCAGCTGACAAGTAGCAACCATTTGTTTAAAGCTTCAGGGGGGAGATGCAATCATTTTGGACAGGCATTTGGCACTGGGGAGGGGGTGGGTGTGAGAGGAGACTGTTCAATGTGCACCTGTGGCCAGGTAACTCACGTCCTTCACTATCTTCCAACAGTCCCCAATGAGCCTCTGGCTTTTTACCCACCAGGTCTCTGCCGTGGACCACGGATTTTGGGAGAAACACGGGCTCGCAGATATTGCTCACCCATCCCCAATACCTGACTCGGCCCAAAGCCTGTTTGCTACCAACACTCCCCGCTCCATCGCTGAGGCCTTTCCCGCTCTCCGGCCATCAATGAACTCCTTGGATCCAGCATCAGCTCAGGCAGCTGCAGCAGAAAGCAAATTCCAATAAAAAGCCCCAGAGCCTGATGTCTTGTCCCTCCTTGTGCTTTCCCAACACTTGCTACGTCTCCTCGGCATTTCTTTAATATATATAATTTTTTTTTTTTTTTACCTGCGCTTTCCTACTCCGGCTGCCCACAAGGATCCGTGCCACCGACACTTGGGCACCAATAAAACCCCACTGCCTAGAGGAGGAGAAACAAAGGTGGCAGACACCGAGCAAATACCCGCACACCCAAATCTCCGCTGCTCGCCGCGGATCCCCGGGCGGACTCGTCCTTCTCGCACCGCAGCGCGGTGACAGCCGCGTCCTCGCCTGTAGACCCGAGGGACAAAAAGAGGGGAAAAGGAGGGGGTAAAGGCGGCCGGGAGGTTCTTTCCTGCCCCTGCCGGAGCCGCCGGGCCCGTTCGTGAGCGCTGGCACGGCCCCGCGAGTGCCGCGCTCCCCCCGCCGCGGCCCCGGCACCGCCCGCCGTCGCCTCCCGCGCCCGCCCCCGTCTCCTCCGCCCTGCGCGCCCCGGCCGCCGCTCCTCCTCCTCCTCTTCTCCTTCCTCCTCCTCCTCTTCCTCGCCGCCGCCGCCGCCCGGGCCCCGCGGCTCCGTCCCCGCTGCCCGCGGGCCGCCGCCCGCATGTCGTGTGCGCCCGCCCCGCCGCGCCGCCGCCGGCCCCGCCGCCCCGCCGCGCCGCATGCAGGTGAGAGCGGGCGGGAGCGGCCCCGCCGCCATGTCGGGCCCCGCCGGCAGCGGCGCGGCCGGGCCGCCGGTGCGGGGCTGCGGGCAGAGCCCCCGCCGCGGGGAGATGGCGATGGGCGCCGCGGGGCAGCCCCGGAGCTGCCCGAGGGGATGCCGCGCTCGCCTCGGAGCCGCCCGTGGCGGCCCTGGGGTGAGCTGTGCTCGTAGGGCCCATCCCGGGCACGGGGGGAAGAATCCCGGCCGTGGGGTGAACCGTGGCCGGGCCCCGGAGTGAACCCTGGCCGTGAGGTGAGCCTCAGCCGTGGGACGAACCGCAGTGGAGGGGCAGATCCGTGTCGTGAGGTGAAGCCCGGCCATGGAGGTGAAGCCCGGCCATGGGGTAAATCCCGGCCTCCAGGGGAGCCTCAGCCCCGGCGCTAATCCCAGCCGTGGCTGTGGGGTGGTACGTGGCCGTGGGGCGAATCCCGGCCACGGGGCGAAGGCTTGGCCCCAATCCCCTTCACGTGTCGTGATGGGATCTTGGCCTGGCGCTGCGGGTGACCCCAGCGTGTTGGTGAGGGTGTGTTTGGGGTGACGGTACTTCAGGGCTTTAGGGTGTTTTGGGGAGATGCTGGTCTCACCACCTCTTCCCAGTGGTTTCTCAGTGGTCGGCAGCAGTTCCGTAGGAGGAGGATGACAAGAGTGTCACCTGCAGTAAAACCTGGGCTGCCAGCCCAGGCGTGCTGCTTGCAAATGAAAGCACGCACTTCAGCGCTGAGTTTTGTTACAGTCTGGGGCTCCCAGCCACACCACATTTTTTCTGACCTTCTGGAAATCCTTAGACCAGTGGCTTTTATCGGGCTCTTTCGGAAACTTTGAATAGGCTGAGTATTTGTTTTGGGGAGGCACAACTTCTCCTGAGTTGCCATGCTGATAAGAATTTTACACGGCCTTGGTTAAGCAGGGAATTTCTTACAATTAAAACTCAGAGCTAACCTAGAGGGCCAAACACCCACCCAGGAGTTATTCATGGTGTGTAGACATGGCTGATAATGAAAATGAATAAATGTGCTTATTTTTAAAAAGAAAAAAAAAATAGTACATTATTCCTCACGACCCAGGGAATTCCTAGTATCATTGTATCATCCTGTATCCCCGTTTGGAAGGCCATAGAGCTCTGGTAAAGGCAGAGCACGGCCTGCCAAGGATTTTATTTCTGTGCTCTCCTTATGAAAAATAGGGAAAGTGGTCCTGCCACATGTCCCTGTCCCGGAGGGCAGCATCCATGGGCACGGCTGTGGTGCCTCCCGGCAGATCCAGGCTGGCGGGGTGCTGAGTTTTGCTTTGTGCCACAGCCCGACCTGGGCTCCTGGACAGAGCCCTGCTCCCTCCCCACCAAGGGAGGTGTTTCCAGCCTGATTGTAGAATTTTGCTCTGGAGCAGATGGACAGCGTGCACTGCTGACACCTCACTGCTCCGTGCTCTGGAATGATGATCCAGCCTGCAGGATTGTGTCGATCCACCCAAACAGAACTTGTGTTTGAGCTCCAGCCCAGGCATTACATCTCCTCCAGAGGTGACTCCAAAAGCCCCGTGGCAGTGTGCCTGTTGGTGTCACAGAACAGTAGAAATTCTGCAGTGCTCTGCTGTCTGCTAAGCAAACCCTGTTAAACACTTTGAGTTTTGTTCCCTTCTTACTATTAAAAGCGGGGGCTGCTCTGAGTGCTGAGATACAGCACAATTTAATTTATTCCCTTTTATCTCTTCCTACAGGAGCTCTTTCTCATTTCGTTTGTGCATTTAATTGAAGGCTAAAACTCAGTGTAAACGGCCCATAGGTGTTCCCGTGCAAAGATTAGTTCTCTCCCACACTGGGAAGGCCAGACCCTAACATGTCAGGGCTGAGACTCCCCATGAGCAGATTGCTGGACAAACTCACCCCAGCAGCAGCGGGAAGAAGGCAGAACTTTGCAGCTCCGTGGTGGTGGCTGTGGAGTTTCCCACCTGCTGGCACAGCTCTACTTGTGACCCGGGACTGACACGAGTCCCGGCTGCAGGAGCAGACTTATCTGCACAAGTGCACTCTTACTGATAGAGCTTGTTTTCCTTTCCTCAAGGGTGTTTCTCCCCGTCCCTGGGAGCAGCGCTGCTTCCAGGGATGGAGCCTGCTCAGGCATTGATCTGCCTGGCTGGGAAGGGAAGGAAGGGGAAGGCTGCTCCAGGTGTATTTGCCATGTGTGGCTCTCCTCTTCCCACCCACAATCTGTAGGAGCCCTGTCACATTTGCACCAGGAATCCTCTCGTTAGGGCTGTTCTCTTTCCATGGGATAAAACTTCCATTTCATGGAAGAAACTGTATTTTGTTGTTTCTCATTAACAGCCGTGGTTTTGTAAAAAGCCAGGCAGGCTTTTGACCAAGTTTAACTTTCACACCAGTCACAGGAGAAGAAAGTAATGAAGTGATCCCAAGGTATGTGTGTGGACTCTATTAGGAGAATGAAAAAGCACCAGTGGGGAAAAATTAATTAATTTCCACACTGGGCAAGCCTCTACTTAATTTCAATCTAAACCACCAAGAATTAAAACTTAGAGTTAGGTAGCTTGCAGCAACCACTGGCTTTTTTGTTTGAGCCAATGTGCACAAATGGGGGGATGTGTTTCTTTTTTCTTATTAAAGCTTTCCCCAAGGTTTTAGGTGATAAAATTATCCATCAGTAACGTGCATAATTTCCAGGCAAACTTTCTTGAACCACCCCCAAGAAGTTCTGCTTCTATCAGCTGTAATCTGCTGGACACTTTTGGGTTACTGGGGCTTAAAAGGGGAGATAAATCCAAATAAGTGCTTACTTTTTATTTGCTTACTGTTCAGTGGAAAGAGGTTTGGGGAATGCCAAAAGGGCACTTAAGGCATGGGATTGTAACCTGATTTGCAGACTACTGAGAAAGCAAAAGTAACAGTGGAGTTTAGTTTTTTGGGAGCATAAGATGGCATTTGTGAAAACTTTAAAAAAGTAGGTTAAAATATGTCTTAGGCATATTTAGATTCAGGAGGATTTGCTGTGGTATTAGTGCTTTAGAGCATTAAATGCTAAGCCTCTTGTAAATTTTTTTTGGTCCAGATTCTGTGGTTCTCTGGATGTCGGGTTGTGATCAAGGTGCTTGTTACAGTGACAGTGTGGTGTAACTTCACCTTCTGGTTAATTCTTTGGGTTTCCAGTGATTTGTCCATGCAGCTTCTCCATCTCACCTGTAATGATTAAAAAAAAAAAGAAAGAAAAAAAAAATTAAAAAAAGGTTGTTTCTCTATCAAGATCCTTAGGTGGTGACAGTATTTCAGTATTTCTGGAATTCTGCTGCTCTCCTTCCCTGTCTTTTGTGTGCCTCGGGGCTGTTGTCAAACTTCCACCACAAGACCACCCCATATAGAACAACTTAAAGTAAATTGAAGTGTCTGGCAGGAAATGGCAAAAAGAACTTGACGTGCACAGGACTGCTGGTCCCATTTGTGCCTTCAGATCTCGGAGCTGGACACAGAGAGCACCGTGGAAGGCCTTTAGCTGAACTTGCTGACTGGCTCTGTTGGCAGCTCAGTAAATTCACAAAAGGGCTATTTGACACCTACCTCCAATGGCAAGGTACTGAGCCTGACTTGGGTGCTGCTGTGTGGGAGAAAAATCTTCTCTCAGAGTTGAAAACGAGAAAAAAAAATATCCACACTCCCCCAAAACAAAAACAAACACCAAACTGAAGTTACTCTAAAGAAAAGAGAGCAGTGGAAGAAAATCTTCCTGGAATCCTGGCAGTCTCTTGGGCATCTCCTTACAGAGATGTAACTTTAGGAGTGCTCAGCCACCACCAGGAAGCAATTGGATGGGTAGTCATGGAAAAGAGAATTAAAGAAAGGCAGAAATGCTCTGTGTGCTGTCCTACAAGGAACACATTTTATCCCTTGGAGTGGGAGATGTTAAACCAGCACTTAGAAAAATGCTCCAGGACGAACAAAAAGCAGCTCCCAGCAACTGTAGCTCCAAGTGGGGTGCAGTACAGGAATTTTGGGAGCTGCACCCAGACCAGGCGAGAGAAGAGAAGCCCAGTGAGCTGTTGAGTGTCTTACACACAAGTAATTTAACTGCAGTTTGTAGGTCGTGTGTGCTCACCCCTACTCTGGCATTTCCTGAGGGCAGTCATTAGTGCTGTTTATGACTGCACAGCACTGTTTATGCTCAGCATTCACCTAGGTGGGGTGTACTGTCTTCCCCATTCTGCTTGCCTGCGTGGGGAGGAGCTTGCTGTTTTTTCTGAGAAAAACAGAAAAAAATGTGAATAAAGGGGCTGCGGGACTCCCAATGCAGATTTGCAGGGTATGAAGGCTGTGGTGTAAATGCACGTTCTAAATTAAAATTTTCCCTTCAGCAGGAGTTTAGTTTTGGGTTCCCCCCACTTGCAGCTGGAGGGTTGGGAAATTTCAGACATGAAGAGACAAATCCTTCAGAACACCCTGCCACCATCCCTGTTGATTTGAATGTGGATTATTCCTTACCCTAAACAAAGCATAAAGGGAAACCTCTTGTGCCCTCAGCCAGGAGCAGCAGGAATTTTTATGGAGGCAACTCTGGTCCCATGGGGCTTTCCCCTTCCCAAGTTCTGCACCCACCTGTACTCTCCAGAGGCTGTGCTGGGGACAGGAATGCAAAGCAAAGCTCCTTTATCTTGGCCACCAGTCCTTCCACAATTACCTCTGCAAGTCAACAGCTCCCCACACTGCTGCTTCCAACAGCCTGGAAGGGAAGGCCCAATTAAACATCTTACATGTTTTTTTAAAGGCAAAAAAAGTTCCTAGGCTGAGGCAGCTCTGCAGGCTGCAGGAGAGGGAGCAGTGTTTAGCCTTGTGTTGCTGCAGAGGCACCCTCCTCCCTGCTTCAGTGTCAAACACATCTTTTTAAGTTCATCAGATTCCAGGAGTACAAAGGAAAGTACAAAACCCATAAGCTTTAGGTCAAGCTGTTAATAATAATCAGGATTTGTGGCTGGTGTTCAAGTTTGCTGTTTACCCTTTAGGGCAGCTGAATGAATTGCTCGGGTGGTTTTCCCCTCGCTTTTCAGGAATGCTTCCATCTGAGTGAACATCTTTGTGCCTTCTAATCACAAATTAGTTTTGCTTTTTTTTTTTTTTTCCTTCCTAAGAAATCTATCTAAAGGCCCTTTCAAAAGACTGAATTTAAGCACCATCTAAAGAGAGTGCTGAAGCCCTCCTTCTGCAGATTCGTAGATCTTTTTTCTCCATAGGATACTCAGAAAACATACTTTGTATGCTTTGCTGGATATCACCATCCTGTGTGAGATCACAAGGGGGGTGTATGACACACACAAAAAAAGCCCTTTATCCCGAGTCAGCCTCGACACGTGGAGAATATCCTTTGCTCTTCCTGCTTCTCCTACAGCTTAAAATTCAATTTCTGCTTATTGTATTACATTAGTTTACAACATGCCCTGGCAGTGGAAAGGAGCTAGCACAGGATGAACGGCTGCCCAGGCAAAATTCCCACTTGTGAACGCCTTTCCTTGAATCCTTTTTTGTTCTGGAAGGTTAAGAAAGCAAAAGGAAAGCAGGGCCAGATGACTTCTCACATACCAGAACAGTCCCAGGTGCCAGGAAGAGCTGGGCTCACCTTTTTTTTTTCCCCTCCATCCAAGTCACATCTTGCCACTGGGAGCAAGTCTGTCTCCAGGGACATTTTGTACCTGTGCAAAGAGCCTCTTCCTTCTCCTCCTCCTCCTTAGTCTGGAGCAAAAGACTGGGAAGGAGTGGAATGCAGCAGAGGAACTAGGAATGTTTGGAGTGCATGAGAGAAGCCCATCTATCGAGTATTTTGAGACCAGGAGGTTTGAGACTAGGCCTGTGCTGAACTGCAAAGTGTTTTTCTGGTGTTCTAGGAACCCCCAGGTGCTTCCTGTGCAGGTAGATGGGGAATAATTCAGTTTTAAGTCATTGACCATCTATTTCATGGCAGCTGCAGGTCTGAACAAAACAACCCTGGACGTGGGGAGATGAGTATAACTCACATGTATTTTCTGCTTGGAAAATTACCTGGTTGAAAACCTCAGGCTGTCAACAAGGCTCCAGCATTCCTGAATCCTTACCTGCCTCTTGACCTACCCTCTGTGTCTGTGCTCTTCCTTTACTCTCCATTCCTGTACAGCAGGGGAGGTAGCACCAGGCCTTTGGACTGCATTCATCTTCTTTAGCTTCCTTTCAGAGAGCTCTGTAATTAACCTCTCAGCTGCCAGTGTGTTAAGAAATACTAGAAAAATCAACCTGCTTGAAAAACCACAGCAAAACTTTCCAAAGGTATTCCCTGGCTTTAGGTGACATCCTTTCGCCTGGCTGAACAAAGGAACTCGCACAAGCTGAGCCTCTCTTCTGAACAGGTCACCCAGAGCAGCTGTGGCTGCCCCTGCATCCCTGCAAGTGTCCAAGGCCAGGCTGGACAGGGCTTGGAGCAGCCTGGGACAGTGGGAGCTGTCCCTGCCCTTGGCAGGGAGGTGGAACTGGATGGGCATAAAGGTCCCTTCCAGCCCAAACCAGTGTGGGATTCTGTTTGCAAGTTTAAGTATGGTGTAAACTCATGGGAAAGACTGGGATAATCAGATACAGAAGCAGCTGAACTACCTTTCAATATTCAAATAATATGCTTTGCTCAGGCTATTAGGCAAACTTTTTTTAAAATGCAAAGTAGATTTAAACGCACCCTCTGGAGAAGAGGGTTTATTTCTATAAACTGGAGGTTTTTAACAGATCCCTTCTCTCTTCTCTGAGCATACAAGCCCAACTACTTTGAGCACTAGTGCAGCATCCTGTGGCCTGTTCGGACTGAAAAGGCTCATTTATTGTGCCAGTGATTGCAAAACAGTTTCCACTACTGGTGTGTGCTTTTTCCTTTGGCTTTTTTTCCTTTTTCTCCTCCTTCCTTTTAAAATCTTGAGTTTGACTCATCCAAAGTTACCTGTGGTTGAACAAGGCAAGCCTTGTAACCCTAAAGCTGTTTGAATTAAGTTTTACAGTGGCAGATTCTGTTGTTTTGTTGAGGGAGAGTAATTCAAGTGTTTCTGGGCTTTGCTTATTTTGTGGAAATGCTGGAAGTCTCCCACTGAAAAGGGAAGATGACACCGTGGCCATGGAAGTAATCTCATTTTTTTTCTCCCAGCACAAACTTTGCTTTGAAGGATGAAAGGGTATTGATGATTCCAACTGTATCTTAAGGTTGGTTCATTGAGAAGACCTCAGCGTGCATGGATTCATAATTCCCGTGTAGTTTTGCTCAAAACCCAGGTCAATAGCTGACTCCTGTCCAGGTATTGATCCTGAGGAGTTGAGTGAGGCACGGAGTTGGCACTCAGCACAGCCTGAGCAGGGTGTGTCATTTCTGAGGAGTGACTGCATGGCTGTCAGGTCATGTCCCTTCCCTCCCGGCTCGCAGGGACACTGCCACACCACGGCTCTGCCAGCTCACTCTGCTCGTGCTCTTGGAAGTTCTGTGTCTCCCCAGTCCCAGGAAAACCTCCTGCTTTAAGCTGCAGCCATACCTGGCTGCTTCTCTGCCATTCCCACAGCCCAGGACGGTGTTTTGTCTTGATGCAGGACTGGCTTCTTCCTTCCCCAGACTCCCGGTGACTTCAGCCCCTAATCCTTTAAGCCACTCTGTCCTGGATCTCATTAGAAGCCCAGCACTCTCCAGGGGATGGAGCAGCCTTACAAATGGGTCATTTCTCTGAAACAGTGCAAGATACTTGTGTAAATAAACAAGCAGCTGTTTAAACCAGCTCTCTGGGGGCTTCTGATGACATTTATTTACAGGCTGGCTGCTGGGAATACTTCTTGCCCTCCAGTAGCCCCTTGCACGCATTTCTGGTAAGCAGAGCCTTATTTTTTGGGAGCAGCCTGCCCTGTGTTTGCATGTGAAGCAGCCCCAAGAGCTGCTCTGGAAGCACAAAGTGTAAAAGGCACCAGACAAAGGCAGGTGTCACTCAATGACCTGATGTGGGTCTCCAAGAGTTGTCATGCACACACTGAGAGGTAGCAGGCTGTTTCCAGCACGGCAGGAACTGTTCCTGTGGAGTGAGAGCTGACTCTTAAACCAAGCACTGCAATAAAAAGCAGCTGTGTAATGCTGTGTAGGATTTCCATGCAGTAAATAGTTCAGCTGGTCCTGTAAGTGGGGGTGTGACATGGAGGAAAAGGAAGGGTGGAAACCTGGATAGGCTTGTGTTACCTGTGATTTAAGAAAAGACTGGTTCATTTAGAGGAGATGAGGGAATGAGGGGAATAACTAGTGGGTGTATGTCAGTGGGACAATTAGCATTTCCATCAAGTGAGTGCCAGTTGGCTCTGGAATTAATCAAATACAGCTCATTCCCTCCCTTCCCACTCCTCCCCTTGGCTTTTGCTGTTTGCTTCTGACTTGTCTGTGCTTCTCTGGGCTCACAGAGATAACGTGGAGCCCCCTAGGACTCCAGCACCACTGAATTTACTGCCAGCTGCAGGTTTCTACTTACCTCTTACCTTTCCCTATTCCCAACTTGAATTTCCTTGTGCTCTGTCAGGGATTCTTTCAAATCTCCTCAAATACTGTTTTTGAATTGTTTGGGTTTTTTTCACTAAAAAACCACAATGAGGCATTTATATTTGATTCACTGCTAATCTCTATCCCCAGTCAGGGTACTTGGAATAAGAAGCTGGAAAGACACAGTACCTGGGAGGGCAGACTCGGGGTGCTCGTTGAATTCTTGGGAGAGGCAGTGTACACAGAGGTGGCTGGACACATTCCTGCAGTAAAGCACCATGACAAAAGATCAGATCCACGCCAAAGACCATCAGAATTCCCCATTCTCCAGTATTTTATTGCTGATTTATACACGCTAGATGCTGTGTATAGGGATATAGCAAATTGTTTACTTTCAGCTAACACAACTGTACATACCCCAGTATTGGCAGGTTTCTTTGAATCCCCTTAGCATACCCTTGAACAGTCACCTGATTTTCCTCCCTGCTGGAGCTCTCCAAGCCAGTTTTTGTGTTTGTGGGTATTGGCTGTGCTTCTCTTCTCCTTGGGATGGCCGAAATGGGGCGACTTTTGTCCTGCTCCCCTAAAAGCAGAGCAGTACAGACAAGCAGCCTTCCTCTCTCCCCCACTTTGCAGCCCCTCAGGACTAAAGAGAACACAGAAATGAACAGGCACAAATGGTGCTGCCTCCCAGCTCTCAGCCCAACTCCCCAGCGTTGGACAACGTGTGTGTACACACGTGCACACCCCGCCAGCCAACAGCATCACTAATCCCTGGGAGGGATCACCATATGGAAGGGGATGGACAGTCAGCTGTGCTCACAGGAATGAAGAGCCACTCAGACCTGGCTGCTGGATTGCTTCCAAAATGCTTTGGCAGTTTGACTCAGCCATGTACAGAGGCTGGGGGAAATATAAAAGAGTCACAAAGAATGTCACTGGGCTGAAGGTGAGGGTTTGGAGCTGTGCCAAACATCCCTGAAGACAGGGCTGCAGCAGGAGGCAGGCACAGCTCTTCTGCATTTGCCTCTTTTATGCACTGAGGTATCAAACAACTCTTAACAAAACATCTTATGGTCACTGTAATTTAAGAAATGCATCTTCAACACTCTTTGGGGAAGGGACTGTGTGTTTGAAACCCAGAAGTTCCTGTTGTTTGCTGCCCAAAAAACATTTCTTATGTTAAAAGCCTCTGCTGCAACCCAGTAGCTCAACCTGTGCTCTCTGACACCCTTCACACCTTCAGTAGTGTTCCAGTACTCTTTTCTCCAGGCTTTAAATGATAGTCATTTGCATGCCTCATACACAGAAACAGCCCAGCAAATAAAGCAGCATAAAACCCCAGAAGTCCAAGGAAAAGGCAGGCACAGACCTACTGGTGGAAACACAGTACCTGGCCCTGGCCCTTTTTATATCCACCTCAGAGAGCTGCTTAGGCTCACCCACGACTACATTTAGGGTTGCAACGGAGTAATCCTGCTCTGCCAGGCCCCTCTGGGTTTTTGGACACAAAGAATTCCATTAGGAACCCCTAGAGTTTAAATATTGTTCTTACTAACACACTGATGTCCTCATCCCTAGGTTTTCTTTACACAAAATGAGGAAGGGATGCTGTGTTTAATTTACACTAAATCGGGGTTGGATCTGTAGCAGAGGGCAAGTTTTAGTAGCTTCAGAAGTTTTCCAACGGGAGCCTTTAGGAGAAAAGCCTGCCAAAATTTGCACTGATGCACATCACATTTTGGAGTTTACAGATCCAGGGAACTCAGTGTAGCTCCCTGAAGACTGAGCAAAAACAGGTTGGAATTTCTGGACATTGTTTTAGTTCCAGGACAAGCAGAGTGGGAGATAGGAATGGCAGGAGTTGGGAACCTGGGCAGAATGCATTTTTTGCCTAAAAACAAAATTACACACAGTGACTTTCAAGTCTTGCTCAATGTTGCTGTGATGCAGAAGGAGAAGAAAAAATGCATTTGATTTAGGTTTGTTTTCCCCTTTCTGTAACTGTGGCAATGACACTGCTGCCCGTTTGACTCACCACGATTTCAAAGCAGTATTAAAGTGACTAACAGCTGAAAAATGTGTGTGTCCTTCGCCTCCCAGCTCAGGGCTCACTTCTCTGGAAGGCCCCCGATGGCCACACATCGCTCTGCATTGGCAGAGCATTTCTGTATTTCACCATCGTTTATTTGGGTGCCCTGCCAAGGAGCAGTCCTGGAGCTTTCAGATGGTGTCAGGGAGCCAGTGGGCATCTCTGGGCTGGTATGGATGGGCAGGGGGTGGCTCAGGTGGTCTCAGCACCGTGGTTTTCAAGACTTGATCACAGAGTACTCACTCAGATCCTGAGGTCTGGACTGCAGAGTTTGCCTTGTCTTGGGTCCAAGTGCCATAGAGGCACAGATCAGTTTAAGATCTGACAGATGAAACAGCAAGAGCGGTGGAATAGGGCTCGTGTGGCCTGGCAGGGGCTGTGAGGAGTCTGCTCAAGTACTCCCCACTTTCACACCAGCACTTGAAGAGTGAAGCTAAATCCAGCAAAATTCAAGCACCAGAGATTTGGCACTTCCAAAACGCAGCCTGCGTGTGTGTTGAGGGGGGAAAGGCCGTTCTGATTTTGGGGTTTTGGAGCAAAGATAGAAGGATTTCAGGTGTAATCCCTTGTCCTTAAGTGACTGGTTCCCTTCATGGCCCCATGCCAGGCAGTGTGAGCGCAGAATCCTCTTATCCCGTAGCTCTGCTGGCCGTGTGATCTCACCTGGAAATTACTGGGGGCTATAATTTGATGTGGGGCTCGCATTTGCCCCTCCAGTTTCCTTGGGCCTTTGTCAGGGAAGGAAGCAGCAGCCCTGTAACTGAGACCCGTGGCAGGGGACAGCCCTGACAGCTCCTGCTCTGTGCCAGAACGCTGATCTGGCTGTCAGCATCAGCTGGGAAACACTGCAGGACTTGACCCTCGTCAAGGGAAAGTGGCATCTTTGGTTAGCTGGACTTGCTGAACAGAGCCCTCAGCTTGTTACCTCAAATTCAAGTTGGAGCTGCTTGAAGAGCTACACAGCTACTGCAGCTGGCTGTAGGAGAGTCTGTATGAGGGAAGAGCTGCATCCTCTGAAGCAGCTGCTTTGGATTTGTATGAAATCAAGGCTCCTGGATTCTGTGTGTCCGGAGAGGAAAAGACCAGCCAACAGCAAACTCGGCTAACCTCGTGTCTTTAAATCACACACAGAGTCCTGCTGAGCACAACAACCTAGGGAGGCACGGAATAAAACCTCTCCCTGTGTGCCCTGGCAAGTGGATGGTTTTGGAATGGGACATCATAGCTCCTGGCTGACAGTCAGCATGATTGGATTAATTTGGTGTGCACAGAGTCATCTTTAGGCTTCTGATACTCACAATTTGCACTGGGCTGGAGCCCTTTGTGCCCCAGAACTGCTAAATGGGAGCTTTACCTGAGCTCTTTTTACAGCTCCTGGGCTGTTTGGAATACAACGGTCTTGAGCGATCCCGAGCATGAAAAAGCACAGAACACAAAAGCTGGATAGTTAATGAGAAAATGGAGCTAATTCCCCCTCAGACTGCAACTTCAGCCTCATATAAGTGCAGTGGAGAAGTGGGACTGTAAGTTGAAGTTAAGAGCCTTCCCTTCAATCCTTGGTTCCCTGTGCAAGCTACAGGAGGGAGCAATCCAGGAACAGTAGAATGCTTCTGATCTTGTCTGCAGGTTCTGCACACAGCAAACAACTCCGTGGGTTGTGGGGGATAAACTGGGCAGCCAAGCAGGGGACTGCAGAAACCCCAACTTGTTGGGAGGAAATGCTCTTCTCCATCCCGGAATTCTGCCCAGGTGTGAGCACCTGCTTGGCAGCCCCATATTTATTGTGCACAAACTTTTGGAAGTGTTGTTGCAGGGTATCCCTGGGAGAGGTCAGCTCATGGCAGGACAGAAACGAAGGAATGCTGTGGAGTAACAGTTGTGATGGTCTTTCAGACTAACAGGGATGCCAAAGGAAAAATATGATCCTCCAGATCCTCGCAGAATTTACACCATCATGTCGGCGGAAGAGGTGGCCAACGGGAAGAAGTCGCACTGGGCTGAATTAGAGATCTCGGGTGAGTTGGTTGGGGTTTAAATTCCCCCAGTTGGTGCTCCAGACCACCCCAGATCCTCAGGAGCTCCAGAGTGAACCAAAGCAGAGTTCATTCTTTCCTCTTTCAGGGAGAGTGCGGAGCTTAAGCACGTCGCTGTGGTCGCTGACACACCTGACTGCTCTGCACCTCAATGACAACAACCTTACTCGCATTCCACCTGATATTGCCAAGCTTCACAATCTGGTTTACCTGGATCTGTCATCCAACAAACTCAGAAGTTTACCAGCAGAACTAGGAAACATGGTGTCTCTCAGGTGAGGGGAATTATTCTGGTTAACTTCACAAAAAATCTCTGGCATGGGATCAGGACCAAGAGTTTCCGTTTGTTTCCTGTGCCTGTATTTCAAATAATCCAGAAAAACTCCAGGATGTTGCAGAGCTTCAGTTCTAATAATTAATTTTGGGTTCGCTGGGCTTTTTTTCCTGATTGTTGATATATCACTGTTTCCATCCCTGGTTTCATCTTGGGCTTTGTGATTTTTTTTTCCCCTAATGAATGTATTTCAGTCGTGCTTTGACATGGAAAGATTGGCATATCTTTCCATAATAAAATTGAAATCTTTCCATAATAAAATTCAGGGTGAAAAGTGTCCTCTTTGAGGACGAGCAGTGTGCAGCACCTTAGGAGTTTCTTCTGCAGTGATACTCACCCAGAGTGTTTTTGCATTTGCTGCAGGGAATTGCTTTTAAATAACAATCTGTTACGGGTTTTGCCTTATGAACTTGGACGACTCTTCCAGCTGCAAACCCTGGGTTTGAAAGGTGAGCTATTCCTAATTCCATATTCCTATGAGTTCACGGGAATCCTGAGGGGGGCTGGCCTCCAAACCTTCCTTATTACCTCAAGGTTTTCTTACAGGTTATTTTAAGCATTGAGTTGGTAGCAAAAGTAACCAGGTAGTTGGGAAAACAATGCTTCTCTGAATTAATACTGCTAAACTTCTTTAGGAGCTCATTTAGAATCTGCAGTCAGGGAAATAAACCCTTTAGCCTGCTGAGTTAATTTGTCTGTTCTCATTCTGGGAGATTTTCTTTGGGTGGAAAGCCTCAAGAAAGGCAGGCAGCTGATCCCCCTGCTGTTGTTTTGTGCTGTTGGCAGGCAATCCTTTATCCCAAGATATTCTCAGCCTCTACCAGGATCCAGACGGAACCCGGAAGCTACTGAACTACATGCTTGACAATCTAGCAGGTACAGCCCTAGGGATCTGGTGTAAAAAGGCTTTAGAAGTAAGATTTGCTGTTAAAAGAAGACTCTGAACCACTGGAGGGAGAGTATTTCTTCACTGCCTTAGTATTTTTGTCAGGTGGCTCCAGTCATATCCCAAAACACACCCTCACACCCAGTGGAAGAGGCTGATGTGTACTGTCCAAGGGTCTCCTGTGTAATAACCAAATGTTCTTTCTGTTCTGTTTAAAACCCTACAATTACCAACCAAGGGCAAAGACTGCCCTGCTGAAGCCATTTTGGTTCTCCCCACCAGAAAGAACCATTTGAATGCAAGCAGAATGTCAAATTTAGCTTGAGAAACACCAAAGCCATTAAGAACATCCAGTACCTGACCTCAGTCCTGCTTTGTGGCTCTGTAACTGAGCCTTCTGCTTTGCCACTCGATGTCTCCCAAGTCAAGGCATTGCATGAATGATGGATGCAGGATGAGGTTCTTGGAGAAGGGATGGCTGAACCAGGATTTACCTCTCCTTCTTCAGCAGATTATTCAATGTGCAGGAGTATTTCAATGGTGCTTCTAAATCTGAAAACAAGAGACAAAAATAGTCATGAATCTTACAAATGACAATTTTTTCCGTTACTAGAGCTACTCATTTAAATTATTTGAGCCTCCTTTGAAGACTCGAGGAGTTAGGGATGCAAAACACATTATTGTTCAGTCATCACTTTGACTTAGGAACTGTAACTTACAAATAGAAACTCTAATTTAATCACTGGTTTAATTTTTTTTGTAGTTCATCCAGAGCAGCTGCCTCCAAGGCCATGGATTACTTTAAAAGAACGAGACCAAATTCTGCCCTCAGGTAAATCTGTGCTGACAGGGTGGCACACAGGGAAACTTAGCTTGGGATTCATTTTCCTGGATCAGAGTGAAAACAGCCATTTGTTCATTGGCACTAGAAAAATTAACCTACGGCTGTGCTGTAAATACCATTTTTGTCATTTGAACGGGATGCTGGGCATTCCTTTTCCACACTGGGCTTTGTCACAGCTCTTCCAGCCACTCTTGCCCAAGCCAAAGAGACAAATCTCCAGAGGCTGACAGCCTTTTCCCTTTCTCTCTCTCTCTCTGCTTGCAGCTTCATTTACAGTTATGTGTTACAATGTGTTGTGTGATAAATACGCCACCCGGCAGCTCTATGGCTACTGCCCATCTTGGGCACTCAATTGGGAATACAGGAAAAAGGGAATCATGGAAGAAATCGTCAACTGTGATGCAGACATCATTAGTCTTCAGGTAATAAAACATAACTGCATTTTCCATCAGAAACAGAAAACATGAGCCTCCACCTTTAGCATTAAATGTTCCCTTGGGAGCACCATAATCACCTGCTCGATAGCAAATTCCAGATCTTGCCAATGCAAGCTGCATCTCCTTACTCCAGTGTCAAGCACACCAGGTGGGGTCTACTGCTCTTCAAAATACACCTGTCACTCTGCCTTTGGGAGGGATTCCAGGAAATCCAGGAATGCACATCCATTCCCAGCAGGCCATTAGTCTAGGAAGGGACATGGATTGTGCAGCTTTTCTGACTGCAAGCCAGGGCAGGCACAAGGAAGGGTTTCTTTCACTTCTTTAGCCTGAGGTGTTTGTGTACAATTCCAGGAAGTGGAAACGGAGCAATACTTCACCCTTTTCCTGCCAGCCTTGAAAGAACGGGGATACGACGGATTCTTTTCTCCAAAGTCACGTGCCAAAATCATGTCCGAGCAGGAGAAAAAGCATGTGGATGGCTGCGCGATATTCTTCAAAACGGAAAAGTAAGGGCAGCAGCAGCTTCTAAAAACTTACACTAAAACCTCAGAACAGCTCCCAATAATTAGGATGGAAGTTTCCCAGAGCCGCCTCTCCAGAGTTTTCACTGCTTCCAAAGAGAAAAATGCAGCTCTTGGGTCCTGCCTAGAACCAGCTGGAGCGGTTTGGAAGAGAGGGAGCCTGTGGGAGCAGACAGGGGTGGTTTCCAGATGGGGTCAGTGCCATGGGGGCTGTGCTCACAGCTGCTCACTGTGGTTCTCTCCCCGTTGCCCAGGTTCACTCTGGTGCAGAAGCACACGGTGGAGTTCAACCAGGTGGCCATGGCCAACTCAGAGGGCTCGGAAGCCATGTTGAACAGAGTGATGACCAAGGACAACATCGGAGTCGCCGTGGTGTTGGAGGTGCACAAGGAATTATTTGGAGCAAGTGAGTATGACTGTGGTGTCCTCACTGCTACTCAGCTCCACAGACAGGCATGAGTTATTCCCAGGTAATCCATGCTGTTCCCGTTGGCGGTGCAGCCAAATGCAGCCCATCGGTGGCTGAGACAGGCACAGACTACATGGTCTGGTTGTGCTCACAGCAAGATGCCCAGCATTTGCTTTTCTCCTTTCAAGCTTTTAGCCCTAGTTACTTACTCTGGTACATTCTGCTTGAGCAGCTCAGCTTTCCCAAGGTCACTGTGTTTACACACGTTTGCTCTTACCAGTAGTTGGCAACGATGTTCAACTTCTATTTTCAACTCTCTTCTCCTCCACTGGATTGACTCCTTCCACCCTCCCCCAGGGATTAGATGTCAGTGCTAATGTACTGATGTGGAAGAAGGAGATTATCAGGTATCTTTTCCTGCTTCTTGCTTGACTAGCACATTTTCATTAAGTTTGATCAGATGCAGCAGACAATTCCAATACAAATAAAACTGCCACCCTGCTCTGTCTCCATGGTTGGGGTTTTCATGGCTTCAGAGGAGGAGAAATTCCAGGACTGTTTACAGGCATTTCAGCAGGTTTAAGCAATGAAAACACACCCATCTGCTGCTGTGTCTGACCCTAAACCCTGTGGAGCTACACCCCAAGTGTGAACAAGCAGGAACGCACTGCATTCACAGAACCTTTCACTGCCAACATTATTTGTCCAGGTATGAAATCGCTTCACGTGGACAAGCAGCTGCTCATCGTGGCCAATGCCCACATGCACTGGGACCCCGAATACTCAGATGTGAAACTCATCCAGACCATGATGTTTGTCTCAGAGCTGAAAAACATCCTGGAGAAAGCCTCAAGCAGGCCCAGTAGCCCTACAGCAGATCCCAACTCTATCCCTCTGGTGCTGTGTGCAGATCTCAACTCACTGCCTGATTCAGGTAAGGCTGTTTTTTTGGCCTGACTTTTAACTTACCTTCTTAGAACATTCAGGTCCACTTTTCCCTCTGAAGGCCATGGGATTGTTCTGCACTGCCCAGGGAAGGCACGGATAAAACCTTTCCTAGGAACTGCTGCCTTTGGAAATCTGGCTGAGGAGACTGCGAGTCCTCTGGCTGAGTCGCCTGCTTTTTGTGCTCAGCTGGACACTCCAAGAGAGCTGGCTGCACCTACAAAAGTGTAGAAAAGCACAGTTAGATCTTAAATAAGTCATTAAACAAATATCTGTGCCTGAAGCAGCAGTAAGAAGTAGGAAAGAAGGGAGTTTCTGATTAAGACTTTCTAAGGAGATGGGGTTTGCTTTGCTGACTCTGATCTCGTGATGTTTCGGTGGCCTTCTGGTTTTTAACAGACTTGGCCAAAGCTGTCTCAAAGCGACTCCCTAAACCCTTCCCCTTGCCCACAGGTGTAGTGGAATACCTGAGCAACGGCATAGTAGCTGACAACCACAAGGACTTCAAGGAGCTGCGCTACAACGAGTGTCTCATGAACTTCAGCGGCAACGGCAAGAACGGAGCCTCGGAGGGCAGGATCACGCATGGCTTCCAGCTGAAGAGCGCCTACGAGAACAACCTGATGCCTTACACCAATTACACCTTTGACTTCAAAGTAAGCCCCGAGCTCAGGCACACAGCAGGCTCTGCTGTGGCAGCTCCCCGACCTCGGCCACCCCCAGGTCCATGAGGACGGACGCAGGGCGCGCTCCACCCCAACCCCAGCGCGCTGCCTGCAGCCGCCGGGCCCACCCTCACCGCGCTCTCTCCCTCTCTCCACAGGGTGTGATCGACTACATTTTCTACTCCAACACCCACATGAACGTGCTCGGAGTGCTGGGCCCTTTGGACCCTCAGTGGCTGGTGGACAACAACATCACGGGGTGCCCGCACCCGCACATCCCCTCGGACCACTTCTCGCTGCTGACGCAGCTGGAGCTGCAGCCGCCGCTGCTGCCCCTGGTGAACGGCGTGCACCTGCCCTCCCGCAGGTAGTGCAGCCCCACGGGCTCCCACCAGCCCCACGGACCTGTACACTTGTAAATCCCACTAGATAGGAGTGAAGTATGGCCAACCTTCAGCTGCTTCTTTGAGCTCCTTTCCTTATGTGTTTGATAAGAGATTTTGCACATTTTGGTGCATATTGGTATCATTTGGCACTAGGGCTGGAACCAAAGTATTATTCCCCTTTCCAGGTTTTTAATTTAATTTTTGTGTTTTGTTGGTTTTTTTTTTTTTTTTATTTTACTTTAAACTGGCTTTTTCTTTTCAGTAGGAAGCTGCACTTCTAAATGGACAAAAGAGATTTAAAAACTTGCATTTAACATATTTCAAGGTAATGCTTTTTTCCAGAACGTGGCAAATTGAGCCAACCTTTTAGGAGAAAGAAAAACAAAACTAGAGATGCTTGTTTTGTAGGAAGAACGTTAGAAATATTGTTTGTTTGAATCCAAAATGGAGACTCAACTCTGCATCCGACATAAATTTTGCACATTAGCAAAGCACTTAATACCTGACTCTAAATGATTGGCAGCATGACCCTGCCCCTCATCTCAATACTATCAGAAAACCAAAGATAGCCAAGTGTCTGTGATCAAATTCGAGCTCTAAATCCTCCCAATTCCAATTTGTGTGGGAGCTGTTGTCAGTCAGGGCTGAAGTAACAAGCTGCTGGTTCCTTCCCAAATGTTAATGCTCTTTGGATGTGTTGGAAATCCTTGTTTTCTTTCCTTTTAATTGCTCTGGGTGGCCAGTTCAAAACCTTGTGCCTCAAGAGGCATTAAACATGATGCAATCTTCTGGGGAAAAAAAAAACCACAAAACAAAAAAAACCAAGTTGTTTGGCTGCTTAATGTTTTAAAAAAAAGGCACAGTGATAGGAAAAGGTCGTGTCTGTGTTTTTAAGTTTTTCTTTATTCTGCTTTTTTGCTGCTATAAGATTTTCTTGAATTTCTATTTGAAACTTTTCATGCACTTTACTGTTTCTAGTCTCCAAATGTGATATTTTTAATAAATGAAAAACGTTTTCCATGATGTGAATGAAATTTTTAAGCAGATTGATAAGCCTATATTTATGTCTCATTCGTATACTTCAAAAAAAGTCAAATTTGAATTGTGAAATTAGTTTTAAATACAAAAGAGCCATCTTGTGTCTTGCAAAACTGCCAAGTCAGGCTGTTTCTCTTTAATCAAACATTTCCTTTGTCATTTTATACACAGGAAATTTTCCATAGTGGGGAAAAAAAAATTCAATTGGACTTAGAGGAGAAACTGTTCCCTGACTCTGACTAGGGCCAGGGAGAGGGTGGAGTAGGCCAGAATGCAAAAATGGGTTCAGCAAAGTGACAACTCCCTTGGAAAAGTGCCTAAAAAATGGGGGTGTCATCTGTGGTCTGGGATCAATTGGAAGCAATGGGAGCTGGGAGGAATTCCTGCGCAGCATTTGCTTTGTGCAAAAACAAAACAAAAGAAAGAACAAACAAGAAAAAAAACGAGGGGAAAAAAAGGAAGCTCTTTCCAGAGATGGATTTTCCTCTGGGTGCAGGTATCTCTGTTGGAATATACCTCAGCATTCCCTTACCTGGCCATGGCACATGGATTGGAGAGCACTGGAAAGTAGAATAGCATGAAAAACTTAATTTTGTGGACATTACCTTTCTGTATTCAGCTGCTGTATGTTTCTGGGGAGCGGGGGGATGCTCTGCTCCTGGCGGCGTGCTCTAACCTGCTCCCCCTGTTCCTCCAGGCACGGTGATCCCAGCGTGAGCAGTGTTTCCTAACCATACTTCACTCCCAATATTTTTTGAGCTGTTTGTATAAAATGGAATTTCCAATTCGCCCGTGATTGTCTATGAACTGCCGAGGAGCCCATTTAGTAATAAAAATCAAAACCCAGCACCAATGTTTTGTAATGTGGGGGTGGGAGAGGACAGGGATGGGAAAACGCAAACCCTGGCAAACATTGTAAGCTGCTCCAGCTGGATTTTCCTTGGGTTTCTAGCGATGGAAGTGTTCCGTTGCAGGAAGGTGTTCCACTGGATTTTCTCTGCTGCACTTCCCAAAGCTCGTCACGCTGTGTGGTTTTTAACACAAAAATGGTTTTTTAACAGACATTGCACAAAAAACCCCAGTTTTGTATGTGTTTCAGTCAACGCACATGTTTACCTGCCTCTCCAGTATGGCTCCCTCCTGTTTTCCTCCTGGTTTTCCCTTCCCAGCAGGAGCAGAGAGGGGATGGTGCTTTTTTTCCCAGCCTTGGTTCCCAGCATGTTGCAGGCAATACCTGGAAAAAAGGCCCCAAGCCCTTCCCTGTTCCTCACTGCCTCCGTTTGCTTCCCAAAACATAGTGCCTGGTGTCCACTCCCAAGCAACAGCACTGCCTAAAGCCAGCAGAGAAAGCAAAATCCAACACTTCTACAAGCAACTTTTTAAAGAACTCAGTCTGGTGAATCTGTCCAATATGGTTTTTTGTGTGTGTATATATATATATACATATATATATATAAAAAAGAGAATTTTGTACAATGTAGCTGAATATTTCTGCTTCCTTCTTTCACTCTTAAGGAGACTGAACCTTACACAAGTCTGGTCATGCACACTCCCTCCCCCTCACCCTTTGGTGTTCCAAGGTGACACAGGTCCTAAGAGAACCTGGTGGGAACCACTCACATCTTCAATCCTCTCTGCCAAGCATCAGCCAAGAACTCGCTTGAATTAGAAATAATTTTACATGGAGATTATAAACCTCTAGATCCAGGTACGGCACAACCCCTCCCTGTGGGAATGGTGAAGGTGAGAGTGATCCCAGTGCTGGGGTTCATCCATCCTCTTTGGAGGCTCCTACACCACCTTGTAGTGGTTACTTTATGAGCTCAGGGGGGTTTTAAGTCAGCTTTCTTTCTTGTGTGTTGCCTTTGCAGCTGGGAAGTCCCGTCCCTGAAAAGAGCAGGGGCAGCTGCAGTGTCACTCCCGGGCATGCTTACACTACAGTTTTTGGGGGATTTATGCCCTGCTTCATGGGAATAGCAGCTTTGCTTCACATTTGAGATCATGTGGGAAACTGCTTGCCCTGGATCTTCGGGCAACTGGGGAAAGGGAGGTCATCAAACCCCTGAACTAGGTCTCCCTTCCCTTTAAAAATTACCTTTTTTTAAAAAAGAATTTGCTCACTGTGGAGATGGGATATTGCTCACCCACAATGGCTACGGCTAAATATCCACCTGTGTACTTCCACATCCTTCTGGAGTCAACAAATAGTCCTTTTGCAACCATTCTTATCCTTCCTGAGGGGCACAGGGCAGGAAGGAGGGGGATACAGAGCCTGGGTGGGTGTTTCCCAGCTTGCCACTGCCCAGGGCCACATTTTTGGCATCCAGTGGGGGTGGGTGGGCAACACAAATTGATTTGATTCCTGCAGACCTTAAACACCTCCTCCCAGAATGGCCAAGGCAGATCGTAAACAGGGATAATCCTGCAAGGGGTCCCAAGTCACACCTGCGTCACCTCAGTCCGTGTGGCCAAGGCACACTGATTGCTGTGCCAGGCTAGGAAATGGGACTCCACAGAAAGCCTCAGCCAGACACTGGGAAATTGCCCACTCCTGTGTTTCCACAGCCCAGACCAGTAGCAGACCCCATCCAACTCCTGCAATTACTTGCTCCTGCCAGGAGCCATCAGGAAAAGCCACCAAATCCCGGAGCAGAGGAAAGGCGGCGCATTCAGAAGCACCCAATGCCGCAGTCCAGCCTAAGTCCCCACTCCAAAAATCCCAATTTTTACACAGATCTAGGCAGAAAGAGCTGCCACAGCAGGAGCACATTCATCCTTTTATTGGTGGCACCCAGGATGGGCTGTGGTTGCGTGTGGGAACAACACAGGCACCCAAAAGGGAAGGAAGCAGCGGGTGCCTGAGGGGAAAGCAGGGAAAGGCTCCTGCCCCTGCCAAAATGCCGGGAGCAGAGGAAGCAGCAGCGTTGTGCCACTCAACCCAGCGTGTCTCAGGGCAGGGGGGTTGTGTCACTGCTGTCCCACGAGGAATTCATAACGGTGGATTCCTGGGATCTGGCCAGTGGGAGGGATGGGGTGGGGGTTCTCCAAGGGGGCCGGCAGCACGGTGCTTCCCGCCGTGGTCGTGGCAACGCTTTTTTGGTGCTGTTCCTGCAGATTTTGTGGGAGGAAAGAAAGGAAACCAGGTGGGTCGGGAAGAAGGGATGGTCCTACCAAGGTGTCAGGGATGCCGGGTGTTTTCCAGCCTCCGGGAATCACGTACCTCTGCATCAGCTTGTGGATGAGCAGCTGGATCCAGGGTGCCTCGGGGGTCACGCACACCCGCTTGTTCTTCTTCAGGGTGAGGCTGCAAGGGAGGAACCCACTTGAAACTGGGAGGCAAGAGTCACCCCAATATTTGTGGGCTTCCCTCCTCCACGTACTTCTGCAGCAGTACACAAAGGAGCAATTAGCAGGGATTGGTTTCCAGGCTTTGCACTTACATGACCTCCTTCCTCCTGCAGTGAATGCCCGGTGGGGTCACGTCGATGGTGAGGATCAGCCCCAGGTTGATGACGTGGGCGGTGGATCTGATGCACTTGCACCTCATGTTGGTCAGCAGGCTCTCCAGCGACACACCTGTGCCCCAGGGCAGCCCACACCAGGTCTCGGCCCCCCGTGGGGGAGGCACGTGGGGCCACTATCCCCCTCCCCACTATCCCATCCCATCCCTGACACCCACGGGCTGCTGTTCACGGGGTTTGCAGCAGGGTCCATCCCTCCCAGCACAGCCTCAAAGCTTCTTTTCCTGTATATGGAAGGGGTTTAGCTGCAGAGATGGAAAACTAAACCAACATTTTATGAACTAAACCCATTGCCCACCCACCAGGCACTCGAATTTTATGGGGGTCTGAAAGGGAAGCAGCTGAAACCCACAGATAAAACCCACGCTCAGCCCCATGTGGGACACCCAATGCCCCTGTCCAGGCGTTTGGAGGGGCCATGGATGGACAGACACCCAAAGGGACTCACCGCCCGCCGGCACCGAGCTGCTCAGGAGCAGCAGCAGGGCCAGCACCAGGGCTGGCAGCAGCTGCATCCTCACCGCCCGCCCCGAGCTGTGCCAGGGCTGCTTTATAGCCAGCCCCTGGCCCCAGGGGGATTCCACAACCCCCTCTGGGCTGGGAAGCGCCGGAGGGGCAGGACAAAGGGGCAGCCCCACCCTCAACTTCCCTGCCCTCGCTTCCCTTGGCTGCACGTGGCCAGCCAAAAAAAAAAAGCAGAAAAAGCCACGGCCACCTCCTCAAACCCGCCGTGATTTTGGCCAAAGGCTGGTGCTCCCCATGCCTCCCCCACCCCAAATGAAGGGAGGCAAGGGACAGTGAGAGCGGGCTGCCACCTTTATTGGGCCTGCTGAGCCATGCCCAAAAGGGACACCCAGAGCATGGCTAAGGGATGGGAGAGGCCGGAGGCAGCGATGGGCATTTTTAAGGGTTTAAAGGCATTAAAAGGAGCTCAGGCAGCAGCATGCTCCCCTCTGGACTAGGCTAAGGCAACAGCAGGATGGGGAAGGGAGGCAGCTTTGGGCCCAGCACATCTGGCCGTGCCTCGGCTGGCAGCTTCCTCAGCGGGGAGCCTTTTTCTTCCTCCTGCCAAAAGCAGAAGGGGGAGGAATGTGTGAAGACAGGTTCCCACGGGACGCCCCTGGTGCTCAGGGGGAAAGAAGAGCTTACAGGTGAGGGAGGTCCTGCAAAAGTTTCTTCATCCAAGGGGTGTCAGGATCCACGCAGACCCTCTTCAGGCTCTTTAGCTTAATCCTAGGAAACACGCGGCCTTTCAGACACATCACTTCCCCTCCTGCAGAGCCTCCCACCCTTCTCACAAGGAAAAGGAGCACGAAACTGGGCCAGGTCAGGGAGGACGGGCGGAGCAGAGGGCGCACACCCCCGGGAGCCACTTACACCACCTCGGGGCGCCGGCAGCTGCTCCCCACGGGCCACACCTCGATGCTGCTGTACCTCTCCGGCGGGATGAAGGCTCGGGTGCTCTTGAGGCAGCGGCAGCTCAGGTTGCCGTTGGCTTCCAGGATTGCTGGAGGGGTGCACGGCATCATATCGTGCATCACCCCCAAATCCCTCCCCGGGCAAGGCATCTCCTGCCACGTCCCACCGGGATCACGCACCCCAAACCCGGCAAGCCTCACCTGCATCCCCAGGGCGGTGGGACAGCAGCAGCAGCAGTGCCAGCAGCAGGGCTGCCCGCACAGCCATGCCGGCCCCAGCCTCGGGCACCGCAGCATCCCTCTATTTGAGCTGGGAAATAGGAGAAGTGAGGCGGCACGGGAGGCCCCGGGGTCGCGGTTTTGCCCGACCCCTGTCGCTGCTGACGGCCGATAAAACGTGGCTTGGGGCTTGGCAGGGGGCCCGGCTTCCCGAAACCAGCTCTGCTTTCCCCTTCCTTTCTCGGTCGTTTCCTCCAACTTCGTTCTTAGTGCACACAGCCCCACCAACCCGGAGGTTTTCTAGGGTGCTTTTCTGTCCTGCATCATCAGGAATTACTCATTTCTCCTACAAACACCTTGCCCCCCCTGCAAGGCAGAGCCCAGCAGTGCCCTGGTGACATTTGCTTTTGTTTTTTTTTACCCCAAAACTCTGCCAAGTGACCTCATGCCCATTCCCAACATATTTCCTTACTGGCCTGGACTGGTTTGTAAAGCCTTACAGCCACCTGTAAATCCCAGCACCATCACTTGGATGTGAGGCACTTTGGCTGGATTGTCCCATCTCCCTACCACCAATATCGTGCCCTCAAATCACCACCAGGGGAAATAACAGGTTATGATGGAAAGGACTCCTAACAAGAGGGAAAGGCTTCATAATGCCAGAGGGCAGGGTTAGATAGGATAGTGGGGGGACATAATTCCCTGAGAGGGTGCGAGGCCCTGGCACAGAGAAGCTGTGGCTGCCCCTGTATCCCTGGAGGTGTCCAATGCCAGGCTGGACAGGACCTGGAACAACCTGTGATAGTGGAAGATGTCCCTGCTCATGGCAGGGGGTGGGACTGGACGGGCTTTGAAGTCACTTCTAATCCAAGCTATGATTCCATGTCATACATAGCTTCAAAGCTAGGAGATCCATGGAAAATACAACAGAAAGAAAAACCCTGAATTTTATTGGACTTGAGCTTCTGGAACGGGACATGCCACACAACCCTCAAACACACACTCTGTTGCTGAGCACTTCACATGGAAAAAGCCACAAAGTCATTCCTAAAGAAGCAGGAGCAGCCCCCAAGGAGGAACAGTTTTGCAGTCCACAGGCAACTAAATAAATGAAGGATTCATATTCACGCTGATCCAGGGACCAAGAGCAGGGGAGAACCCCTGCCACGAACCTGAGGCCAGCAGTGAGCCACCTCCCACAGCCACTGCCACCAGAGCCAGACGTGGGACTTTCAGGAAGGGGAGGAAGAGAGGATCAAATGAGGAGCAGCCAGGTCTGCACACCTGGGCATCATCTGCCAGCCCACCCTGGAGCTCTGGGCACCAACTTCCTTAGCAGGAAACCTATTTTTTCTTCCTGTGAAAAGCAGAAGGAGGAGAAACGTGTGAACACAGAAAAGCGGCTCCAGGAGAGGAAGCTCCTGCCCTAGCCAAGGGAAGTCACTGCTGTTTCCTTAGGGCAGGCATCAGTCGCCAGGATGGCCACAAACCCAGCACAGGCATGGCCAAGAAGGGCAGCTTTACTAGCATCAACACCCTACTGCACCTGCCACGAGCAAACCCTGCTCCTGCCACCTCTACCCTCATGTTTTTCCCCAAAACTCTAAGTGCAGCACTTAGAGTGTGAAAGCCAGGGCTAGCATGACCCACAGATGGGTCGTGTTGGGCTGAACGCTGCTTTGCACAGCAAAATGTTGCCCCTCATTGCTTTGAAAGAGGGTCCTTTGGACAGCAGCAGCTCTCCTGGGCCCATGAGAGCTTCTCAGAACCATGGATGTGCTGGGATGCTGTCCAGGGACTCCTGAGCCAAATGAGTTTCCATCCAACAACTTACGTGCTGGCAATGCGCTTCAGCAGCTTCTTCACCCAGGGGGCTTCGGGATTCACACACACCTTCCCTGAGGTTCTTAATTTAATTCTGAAATGTAAGGAGAGTTCCTGAGCATTCCCATCCCCTCCAAAGGCAGAGACTCAAGCAGTCAGAGCTGATGGGGAAGACTCAGCTTTTGCTCATAGCACCAACGATTGTAGAAAGCTGCAGAGCGAGAGAAAGCCACAGCATGGCTGGGAAACAAGCAAGACTCAACAACATTCCTAGGTGGAGCAGAGACTTGAAGCCCAGAACAATGCTCAAAGACAAGATTTTCTGGAGCAGCTAGAAAAATCTATGAAAATTTCTTATGGCTCATGCTGCCTCAGTTTCTGAAGTGCTTCCTCCAGGCTGCAAACACTCCTGCTCCAGCTGGAGGAAACCAGGCTTTCCCCTGCTGGAGAGATTCCTTTAGGCCCTGGGGACCTGCATTTCTGCACCTGATGTTTTTCAGCAAGCAAGAAGGCGGCATTTTTGGAAAGGTTTCATTTCCAGCAAGGCAGCAGAGAAGCAGGATGGTGGCAGCAGCAGAGCCCACAGCACTTACATGATCTCCACGCGCCTGCAGCTGCTGCCCACGGGCCTTATCTCAATGCTCTCGTATTTCTTGGGACTGATGTATTCTGAGGTTGTCTTGGCACACCTACAGCTCAGGTTCCCGTTCACCTCCAGGATGGCTGAGAGAGAGAGAAGGTGGCAGCTTACAAGCTGTGCTGACAAGGATGCAGCAGCTCCAGGAGCCAAAGGGAATCCCCCTTCCCTGTTTTCACTGACAGCACAGCAGGGACCACGGTGAGAGGCTTCCACCTGTGCCTCTACTTCAGTTCCCTGCTCTCAAATGGCTCCCAAAAGCTAAACCAGAGCCCTGCAATGGATGGCTGTGCTTTTTCCCTGGCAAACAACAAGGCAAGCCCTCAGCTAAGCAGGCAGCAGGATCCCAAGCTCCCCAGTCGCTCCTGGCACAGGATCATGCCAGCAAAGGCAGCTGAAGCTCACCTGCATGGGCAGAGTGGGACATCACCAGCAGCAGCAGCAGCAGCCAGGGGAGCAGGGGGGCCCCCATCCTCAGGGAAGGCTCGATGCTCCTCGGGACCAGGCACACAAACAGCCCTATTTATCAAGGAGGGTCACGCTCCCACACAGGCACAGAATTCACACCTCAGCAGTCACACCCGGCCAGCAGAGCACAGACAGAGGTGATGTCATTTCTCAGATGCTCCCCATAGCCAGCCCAGAAGCTCAGTGGTCAATATTTTTAACTAAAACCAGCCATTGAGACGCAGTGCGATATTTGGATTCCCCACACATCTCCCCCATGCCTTGTCACCCACATCACCCTTCATTCCCTTGAGCATTTACCCCTGAGCCACAAAAAAAGCCCAGAATGAAAGCAGAGTGCAAGCCCCTGACTAAGCAGGGGGGGTTTTAACATACTCGGACATTTACATATTTCTTTCTTGGGGCTATATTTTCCCCACGCTATTTTTATTGCCTCTCTCATCAGCAAAAACGCCTCATGCCATGCCACAGAAAAACCACCATGACCTCCTGCTTTATGCTTGCACTCAAATATTTCCAATTTCACACTTGGCTGGGCGAGTAACTCGCCCAGGATGGCCACAGGAGCACCCTGTGCCCTTGGGTGTTGGTGGGATGGGGTCTTTGCCCTAAATAAATTCGGCAAACTCACCAGTGGGGAAGCAAAAGGGGAAGGGGATATGTGGTGAGGCAAGGAGGAAGGAAGAGGCAGAAGAAAAGAGATGTGGTTGTGTGATAATGTTGTAATTTGGAGCTTTCAAATCACATCAGCATTTTATATAGCTATTACCAAAAATAGTAAATATAAAAAAAAAGTCTTCTACTCAAACTCAAGCTACGCATCTCGCTTTGAAAACCTTGCTTTTTTCCTCTGAGATAGGTCCAAAAGTCTTGTGAAGTGCTTGCCCAAGAGATGATTGGGGAGTTTAACTCCCTGTCAGGTCACAGAGGTCACAACAGGGTAACAGAGAAGCCTGGGACAATAGCTCATGAAAGAGCTATTCCCAAACCCTAAAAAGAAATGGGAAAGAATGGGTGTCTTGCTGTCACAGCGATGGAAGAGGAGATGGCCTTAAAACTGGGTTTTGTTTAACCTTTTCAGAGAATTATTAGAAGGAACACAACCAAGGACTAGTTTTGCTGGGTTGTGGCAGGAGTCTCTTGGAAAAAAATGATGGGAAAGGGAGCAATTTATCAGGGAGGTGACTGTTCATCTATGCAAAATGCTGTGGAGGCATAAAAGACATCTGAAAATCTTTCTAAAGTTCCTGACTACAAAACTATCCTGCTTTTTAGAGCTGGGAAAAAACAAGTGAAAGCAACTTTCCCCAGAAAAGATAGAGCTGCAGCATTCAGCTGCTGCTCTTCAAGGACTGGAGGAATCAAACAACATTACTGGCAGTGCTTAATGAAACTGGTACAAGAAAAAAAAATTATTACCCCTGGACACATGCCATGGATGGACCAAGATGAGCCAGATCACACCCCTGATTTGTGGGCAGGTATCCACCTCCTGCCTGTCCTGGAAAGAAGCAAGAGCTACAGAAGCATCAGCTGGATGGATTTTGAGAGGGTCTGTGAGTGGGCTGGGCAGCAGCCACGGTGCTGTGATGGATGAGAGGTGTACTGATGAACACTGGGCTGGTTTCTCAGAAGGAAAAGCCGCAGTCGTGGCTGTGGCTGATATTTCTGCACAACAAATGGTAATTTTGCAAAGGGAGAAGCAGGGTGAGGATGTGAGCCCTGACTGCAGTTAAGCTGACTGTTTCCTGGATGCCAGGAATTCGGAAGAGTGGCCCACAAGTAGGGATGTGTGGTGTCATCCAGGCTAGCTTCAACTGAAACACATCCATAACACCCTCACAGCTTCTCTGTTTCTGCCCCCGTGCAGGCAAGACTTTGATTTTAGTAATTTTTTATCTAATTCTTATTGAATTTTTGTACTATTTTTTACACCTGGAATACTTTTTAATCCTTCCTGTGGTACCTAAATCAGAAAACTCCAAAAAACAGTGGTGCAAGCAGCACCTAAAGGCAACATGGAAAACCTTTCCCATGTTTACCAGGATGGGCAAAAACCCAATCCTGACGTCAGTGCCGAGGAGATGCGGCTCTCCAGCCCTTCAGGGAGGACTCACAAGAGGCTGCATCACAAACATCTGCAGCAAACAAACCTCTCAATGACTTGAGAGAAAGTGATTTTTCAGCTTACCTCTCCTTTGCCCACAATTCACTTGCAGGAGAGGAAAAAAAACCAAACTGTTTGTTTTTTATCCCCCAAAAACCCCAACTGCAGTGAATCTTCACCACTGTGGCTTGTGGTCCATCACCTGCCTCAAAGATAAAGATGCTTCCTGCCAAAACCCGAGAAACCTGAAACCCACACGTACTTCAGTGTCAACGTGAGAGCACCAGAATTAGACAAAACCTAACGAAATCGGTTCAAAATTAGGTTGGGTGAACAACACATCGAGCTCACTCTTACTTGCTGTCTTCAAGTGAAGATGCATGACTTGCTGCTGATGCAAGGGGACAAAATTGTGGGTTTGGCCCATTTTTAGAGACAGCAGAGTGGTGTCATGACTCCTCTGCAAGCAGGTGAGAAGCCTGCTCTGGCATCTTTAGAAGTATTTGGTGAGCTAAGGGCTAAAGAAGGGAATATGGTAAGAGGGAGCTTTGAAAGGGATTGGATAAGGAAAATGGAGAAAGGCTGGGAGCAAGAACAAGAGAAATTAAAGAAGACTTTTAAGAAACCTAAATCCAACATTCCTGCCTCCCCAGCCCATCTTGGGGACCTCTGGGGAGCAGCGATCTGCTGAAGGGACAGCCATACAAAAATAGCAGCCCCACGGCAGGGACAGTTTCTGGGAAGTCCCAACCACCCCAGAGATGCAAATGGCACCAAGCAAGCGCAGGAGAAAACCCCCAGACTTCTGTGCCAGCTTGTCCCTGCCTCTAGAAAAGCACCGTGGGGAACACCCCGGCACCCCCGCGCTGCTCCAGAGCTCTCCACTCGTTTCCAGCCTGAGTCACTCCAAAATGAACCCAACGCCAAACAGAGCAGCACCATTATTCCTCAGCAGCCCTTCTGCCTGGCATGGAGGATGTGAGGCAGGAATAGAAGGCAAGGACTTTCCCAGAAAGTGTCACTGGGACCGTGTGGCCCAGCACCCTCCCCACACATTTGCATGTGGGCACAGGAACCGGTCTAGACGCCGCAGGTGCCACCGAGCCCGCGGGCGCCGTTGGCCATTTGCATCGGGGCGCCATGGGACAGTGAGGGCTCGACCCTGGCCATGGAGCTAAAGGGATGGGGAGGGAAACCTTCATCCTGTGCCAGGAGGGAGCCAAAGAACAGCAGCTGGGGGTGTTCTAAGTGAGCTGTGTCTGGCGACTCGGCCCTGCTGCCCTCGTGTCAGCCTGGCATTCTGCACATCCCCACCGGCTGGAGGAAGGCACTTCCTTCTGGGGTGTCGGAATCTGTGGGTATTGGTGATTCCGGGATTGTAGAAAGTCTCTGTCTTTCTGCCCCGTTGCCAAAGAAGCCATAATTCGTCTGTGCTGGTTTCCAGGCTGTTTATTCTGTTTATCTCTAACGTGTTCTGCTGCCCTGCCGCAGCTCTGTCCTGCAGGGCAGCGTGTGGGGCTCTGCCCTCAGTGGGATGGTACAAACATTAAATACCAGAAACTACCTGTGCTATATTTACAATAATGTGCCAATATCTGTCACCTACGTTGAACAGTGTGTCCCCAGCCTAAACCAATAGAAAAATGCCAACACTACAGTGAAACATGGAGGGCATGAAGGAGGAGGAAAAGGACAAGACACACTCAATTTCCTCCATCTTGTCCCCTCTGAACCCCTAAGCTAGAATCCTAAAATTTTACTTTTGCACCTGTGCCACACTTAATTATTACTGATATCAAACACTCAGAGCTGGTAATTCATCCTGTAAGATTGAAAACTCTTTTCCATGGACAGAGATCACAGCCAGTGTCTCTGGGGGCTCTGTACAGTTGGGTTCCTGACCCCTGCCAGGGTCCCAGACCTTCCAGGGCAGCCAGAGGGAAGCCCTGGATTCCCACAGTGGGGCTAGTGAAGAAGCACTTCAGGTCTACTCACACAACCAAAACACGCTCTGGAAACTCCTCCAGCTACGTTCCAGCCTCACGAGCTGGGAAGTTTCTGCTGAGCTCAAAGGCTGCCATTGCTGGAGCTGAGTTATTCCTATTTGGGCAGCACATTCAGGCAAACACTTGGCAAGAGCCCTGGCTCTCCAGGAGTGTTATGGCAAAGTCTCCTCCCCTTCCCCTTGAAGTTTGACATCTTGATAAATGCAGCTACAAGTTTGGTTAGAATTTAGTTAAGCATTTTATATTTTTCCAATTATCCGTGGTTTCCATTTCAGTTGAGCCCATAATTTAGTTGTCTACACATTACTTGCAGAATAACCCGTAACTATTATTTCTCCTAGAGCTTAACATGGCCTTGGCCCATTAAGTCAGAAGACAGCAGGCCATCCATGGAAAACAGTGTTTCTCCTCAACCACACACAAGGGTAAAAACACACCAGGAATGGACCCAAACTCGACCATGCATCTTGGGTTTTATTTTTATTAATGTCCATTTAATGTTTTGAGGCCCCTCCTCTTCTTGCCAAGTGCCTCCCCACATTTTTCCCTTGGGGAAGATAGCTTCCCCCACATTTCACCCACAAGCCACCATAGCAGTAGAGATTTTTATATTAGGAAAAAACCAACCAAGCCAAGAGCAACTGTTCTCCAGCAGCAAGTAGAAGTGCACGTAGCAAGAAGGGGAAATCCAGTTCTTCACTGAGAAGGAAACTGCAATACCAATGAAATGAGCAGCCCTCCCTTTGGAAAGCCCCTTGTCAACTTTTCTCCTGGAACTAGCATCCCTGAATCAGCACTCACACCCGGAGATGCTGCCAGAAGAGACAGAGAAACTCCAGCCCAACTTCTGCAAAGGACGTAAATCTCAGCTGCTGCAAGAATTGATACTGAAAGGAGTTGTCTTGGGCTAAAAGAACCTGATTTTAACCTGACATTGCCCACATTTGGGGGCTGAAGAAAGGCTGCTCGAGCACTGCAAGTCTTGCCCCAAGCTGGGAGGTCACCAAGTCCCACCCTGCCAGGTGGAAAGGAGGAGGGAGATGAAAGGGCAGCGCCCAGGGAGAGAAGAAAAGCTCCGGGAGACACATGAAAGTGAAACCAAGAAGCACAATGCCATAAAAACCATGAAACCTGCTTTGATCTTTGCTCAGCTTTTATCTCGCCTGTCGATTACCACACACACCCTGAAAACCAGTAAGGCCTAAAGACTCA